CAGGGGTGGTGCAGAATGAAGGGAGGCCCTGGCAAGCAGCCAGAAGGTCCCGATCAGCCCTGATCACTGGCCAGGCCTAGGGACTCTACCCGTGCACAAACTTTGTGCACCAGGCCTCTAATTTCCTTATAATACAATCCCTTGAAAACAAAAAATTCAAATTAACCTCCCCTTCCCCAAGCTTTATTTTTTCTGGACTCCAAACATTTGTTTCCCGAAAATAACTTGAGTGCAGTGTGAAGAAATCAAAGAATTTATTTTGAAGACCACAGCTTATTACAAAATCCTGTATTCCAAACATTTGAGTGCAGAAGAAACGTTAGAATAAGAATACACTGCTTTATTGAGCCTTGCTGCTTGCACCAGTACTAGGCTGTCGTTGGAGGAAAATCTTTTTTGCCTCTCTGTTGGGAAGATAGGTGAGAGTGGATGAGGAGTGGAGTGGCAGGAACTTACTAATGAGAGGGAGAACACTATAAAAATAGTATACACGGAAGAGAACAAATCCTACTACATCCGAGGTTATCAACAAAATATCTGCTCCTGCCAGATGCTTTCATTGTAAGAATATTCCTTTCATCTGTCAAACTCTGACCATCACCTTCCAGTTTATATCCAACAACTAATCAAATACAGGTGCAGGAACAAGGACCCCAAAGAGGAAAAGGAGAGCTGGACACCAGTCCTGCCTTAGCCACTGATTAGCTCTCTGACTCCACACAAGTCATTCTGCCTTTCTACGTCTCAGTGTTTTCATCCGTAAAACAAAATGACTCACCTAACCTCACACCATCCAGAAAAATTAACTCAAATGCACCAGAGGCCTAAATCATTTCATATGTGATTCTCTGTGTTTGGTTTATTTGGCATGATGTTTTTTTGAGGTTCATTCATGTTGTAGCCGGTTGCATATATTATATTCCCTTTTTTTTTTTTCAGACACCACTTGATGAACATGGGGTATCTGCTTGCTTCTTCTTCTTTTTTTTTCTTTTTTTTTAATGTTTTGATATTGGGATTAGTAAAGATTTCTTAGCTACAACACCAAAAAAGCACAATCAATAAAAGAAAGAAGTGATAAATTAAACTTGTATCAAAATTTAAAACTTTAGTATTTTTTAAGATATTTTTATTGATTGGAAAGAGAGAGAGAAACATCTCCCACACACACCCAGACTGGGTACCAAACCTGAAACCCAGGCATGTGACCTAACCAGGAACTGAATCATGACCTCCTGGTTCATAGGTCCCCTCATCCACTGAACAACACTAGCTGGGCAACTTTTGTATTTTCAAAGACACCATTAATAAAAAAAAAAAAAAGAAAGAAAGAAACAGCCACCAAAGACACCATTAAGAAAGTGAAAAGACAAACTACAAACTGGAAGAAACACACACACACACACACACACACACACACACATATATATATATATATATAAAATTTAATATATATATAAAATTTATATATAAAATATATATAAAATTTTATATATATATATAAAATTTATATATATGTGTGTGTGTGTGTATATATATATGTATATATATATATATTTTTTTAAATATATTTTACCTACTTTTTACAGAGAGGAAGGGAGCTAGAAACATCGATAAGAGAGAAATACCAACCAGCTGCCTCCTGCACACCCCGCACTGGGAATGTGCCTGCAACCCAGGCACATGCTCCTGACCAGAATCGAACCTGGGACCCCTCAGTCCGCAGGCCAATGCTCCATCCACTGAGCCAAACCGGCCTCAGCTGGGAGAAAATATTTTAAATCATATATCAGGTTATGAAGTACTCAAATCCAGAATGGATACACAGACAAACACCTATAGCTCAATAAGAACAGAAACCAAAGCACAAAAATCTCAGCAAAGATATATGGAAAGCTAATAAACAAGCACATGAAAAGATGCTCAACATCATTAGTCATCAGGGAAACGCAAAAAAACACGAGATTTCACTTCGCACCCATTAGAATGGCTACAATCAAAATGGCAAACAAATGCTGGAAATAGGAACCTTCATAATCACTAATGGGAATGTAAATGGAACAGTCACTTCACTCTAATCCAGCAATTCCGCTCAAGAAAAATGAAATATGTTCACAGGAAGATCTGATGTGAATGCTCACAGCCAAAAAACAGAAGCTCAATGTCCAGCAAGTGGTAAAAGGAGGGTGGTGGACATGATATGAGTGAACCTCAAAAAAACATTATGTCAAATTAAAAAAAACAAACACAAAGAATCCCATGTTATATGATCATTTTTATATGGAAATCCAGAAAAGGCAAATATGGAGAGACAGAAAGTAGATTTGTGGTTGCCTGAAGCGAGGGGATGAGAGGGGGAGACAGGGAGTGACTACAAATGGACATGAGGCATCTTTTTGGAATGATAAAAATGTCCTAAAATTGGATTGGAGTGATGACTGAACAACTCTGTAAATTTACTAAAAACCTATAGAACAATAAGGTTAAAATTGGTGGATTTTATGGTATGTAACTTATACCTCCATAAAATTGTTTTTGAAAATGAAAAATACTATGCTAAATGAAAGAAGCCAAACACAAAAGACCACATGTTATATGATCTCATTTATATGAAATGTCCAAAAAAAGCAAATCTATAGAGACAGAAAGGAGATTTGTGGCTGCCTGGGGCTGGGAGTGGGAGCAGGGATTAACTGTAACGGGCACAAGGGATCTCAGTGAGGTGATGAAAATATTCTAAACCTGGATTATCCTGATTGGTACACAACACAGTAAATTTACTAAAAATCACTGCATTGTATACTTAAAAATGGCTGAATTTTATGGTACTAAATTATACCTCAGTAAAATTATTTTTTAAAAAATAAGGTGGTCAAATCGTAACATTGGCATTCTTTTTCTTTTTAAAAAAAATATATTTCACTGATTTTTATTGCAGAGAGGAAGGGAGAAGGATAGAGAGTTAAAACATCGATGAGAGAGAAACATCCATCAGCCTCCTGCACACCTCCCACTGGGGATGTGCCTGAAACCAAGGTACATGCCCTTGACCGAAATCGAACCTGCGACCTTTCCGTCTGCACTATCCACTGAGCCAAACCGATTAGGGCAACATTGGCGTTCTTAACCTTTGATCCATGGACCACTTTGAGAATGAGATCTCGAGTAACCCTACCAGAGGGCTGGGACTCCCCTTTCTCCACTCCTGAATACCCTATTAGTCTCCCAATTTCTACTCTGATGCCACCTTAATAGCAAAGGCACCAAGAATGACCCCAAGCATCCTCTTCACCCTAAAAAGATGTTCACCCAACAGGAAAGCAAAAACTCCTCTTCTAAAACGATCATAGGGATGCTTTTCTTGGTTTTCAGGACACTACTTTGGAATCTCCCCCTTAGTTCCTTTCTTCGGTATGAAACGCTGAGGGGCCCAGAGCAATCCATCAAGACAGAGTCCTAGCTAGCTAGCTGGCTGTCCTCAGAACCAACCAGTACATGTCAAGATACAGCACGTAACGAGCACATGGGCCCATGGAGTGGCTTAAGGGGAAAAATGTGATGTCTTTCAGACAAAACGTAGCCCAGATTTGTTTTGAAACAAGAGGCAAGTGCAAAAAAAGAAATATGACAAAGTTTCTCTACAACGCAGATACAGTACAATAAACACTCACGCCCCCGTGACAGCTAGTGAGTGTTCAGCCGGTCTCTGTTATAAAACTAATTTTAGGACAGGGTGCTGATGGAGCAGAGGAGACCACCTCCTTCCTTCAAGAACAGGGGTCTGCTCGGGTTGGTTGGGCCGCGTTTCTGTTTAAGGACACCCACACCTTTTTTATTTTTTTTATTTCTAAAGTCACTGGATTATTGCTTTCCAACAAATACTTCCCTCAGCATCCCCGGTCCCTCTCCTCCCCCAGCACACGTGCCTCTCTGAGCATTACAATCTCCATGCAAGTTCTGTGCTATGCCAACTGGTATTCCTGGACTCCTTTCAAATCCACTCCGCACGCAACAGCCAGACCCACGAGATGTCGTGTCCCTGCTTGAGGCACTCCAGTAACACTTAAAATTCCAAAATCCTTACCAAGGCTGGGAGGGTCCCTAAGATCCGGCCTCTGCCTTCCCTTTCTTTCTGCCTTTCAGCTCCTCAAGTGCATCCAGCGGGTTCCCCTCCTCGGAAACTTTGCATTTTCTCCTCCCTCGGTAGGGAAAATCTTCCCTAGGCTCTTCAGCTTCCTCCTCATCCTTCAGTGCTCAGCTTCAATGACTCAGAAAAGGTTTTTTTGTGGGTGTTTTTTTCCCCTTGCAATCACCCTAAGGAGGTCTCCAGGTTATTCCTTATCAGAACATCTCATTTCCTAGCACTTGCCAAAGCCTGTAATTGTTTTTCATTTGCCTACTTATTTCACAGTCTACCTCCCGGAATAGAAAGTCAGTGTCCCAAGCAGTAGGAAGTTGTGTCCACACGTTGCTCAGAACCGGTACCTGCAGCTTCGTCTGGAGAGGATCCCCCCACACCCAGCTCCACCCCGGCCAATGCCTGGCATTTCGTGGGCATTTCCTCCGATGCGGGAAGGAACCAAAGCGCCCCGTCCCACAATCCCCCAAAGAGGTGGCCGTGTCCCCACTCCGATAGCCCATTTCTTTGTACAGCCCTGACAAGCCTGCACTCTTCTTTCTCTCCAGGAGACATCGGTGGCTCAGGTTCACATATCGATCGCGACGTCAGTCTTCCCTGAGCCCCTCAAACCCACCCGCCCCCGCCCCGCGGGCGCGTCACTCACTCAGTGTCCCCTCCCGCGCCGCACACACCCGGAGCCTCACCCACGCGTCCTGCAGCCCCGCGGGCCCCACGCGTGCCCATTCATCTGTGTGAGCCCTGCGCTCCCGAGCTCCCGGCTGGTCCACAGGGGACCCCGCGGGTCTGTCTCCACGATCCCTCCCGCGCGTCCCCCGCTGCCCGGAGCAGTGCCTCCCCGCTCAGCGGCGCCAGCTCTCACCGATCACCTCCTGCAGCTCGTAATCGTCCCTGTTGATGGACCAGGGCAGGGCGCTCGAGTCCTCGGTCATGACGGCGGCTCAGCTCTCCGATCCTCCCGCAAACTCGCTGTCCTCTCTCCTTGCCTCGCCTCGCCTCTCCCCACCCCCAACCGCTGCCGCCGCGACCCCACCAATCTCCTCGAGAAGCAGGTCCGAAGGGCGCCTGGGTGCGGGGTCACCCGGCGGCGGAGCGGCGGAGCGGCGGGGGACTCGAAGCGCCGGCGGGATCTCGCCTCCTTCTCCCCTGCGTCCGGCACGCCCCGGTCCGGTCCAAGTCCCGGCCTGGGCCTCCGCTGCAGCAGCCACTGGAGCTTCGCCTGGGCCCGGCCCCTCCGTCCCGCCCTCCACCCCGGCCCCACGCACGGGCCAAACTTTCCCTTCACCTGCCGACACGCAGCGCGCTGACGTCACCGCGCCGGTCACGCCCCGCCTCTGCCACGCCCCCCACTTCCGCCATACCAAGTGTGGCTGACTTGGCAGCGAGCGAGCAAGGAGCCTGAGGAGATGGAAGTTGACAGTGACAAGGAAAGAATGCTTAGGAAGGACTCCAGTGAGGACACCGGAGATCCAGAGAAGGCCCCAAAGTAGCACAGAAGAGGTAGCCACACTAAGCATGGCGGCCAAAGGTGTCCAAGGAGAGGGGCGGAGCCACTTCGGGCGGCGGGGGGCACGTTGCCGTCTCCGTCGTCGCAGTCATTGGTTTGTTTGAGAAGGAATCAGAAAGGTGATAGGCGAGTATGGACATCAGTCATACGTTAGTCCCGCCCCCATGCTCTCGGCGCGCTGCTCTGCGCCGGGGCTCCAGTCCCTCGAGACCGCTAGTACGTACTCAGCTCGCGGCCGGTCTTCCAGCGACGTCACGGCGTAACCGTCACACCCTCGAGACGTGCCAACGGCTCCGCTGGGTGTGGAGAAGCCCCGGGGAGCCGCAGGGTGGGGTAGCCTCGGGCTCTGGAAATGCGCCAACTAGGATAAAGGCCCGGGCCACGTACGGAGTGGAACTGGAAGCTTGTCCCATGACGACACTTTTTTCCAGGAGGAAGTTCTCTCCGCGTTAACCCGTGGCGGTTCTCTCAGCCACCTTCTTGGGCCGGGAGCGAGTTCTCTCCATTCTCCACTCTGGGTCTGGAGTTCAAAAGAGCATCTGACTTGGGGGCTTCTGAAAGTTACGGTTTTTTCCCTCCACCCCTTCCCCTTAAGCATCCTGGGCCATGAAACCAGTGAGATTTGGCCCATCTTCCAAGGGCTTTGCCTTTGGTGTGACCTCACTGAACTCGTTCTCTCGGGTTGACCGCTTAAGCCCACTGGGGAGATTAACAAGGTGACAAACGCGTTTGGCAAAATGGAAAAGAAGGTACCAACCGCCAGGCTGGCGTGGCTCGGTGGTTGTGCGTGGACCTATGAACCGGGAGGCCAGGACACATGTCAGGGTTGCGGGGGGGCCCCTCATCATTGATGTTTAAAAATCTATTTTAAAAGGCATCAAGCGTTGGGTTAGGTGCAAAACTGTTCTCAGCTGATCATCCTTCAGACCAATTGTAGTCCTTGGAGAAGATCTTCCCTGGGCCTGGGCCCTGCGCTCTGCTGTGGGGCAGGTCCCCTGACGGGAAACCAAAGCCATCGCTAGGGACTGTGGGAATGGAGCTGGTAGCAGGTTTCTGATTGGTTGGTGTAATTGGACATTTTATGGATGTGGTGGCATTTGTACCAGAACCTGCAAAGATAACATTTCAACAGGTGGAAATTGAGAGGATAAGTTGTCAGGTCTGAAAGCACAGCAGAAACCTTGCTGCAGACACACGTGTCAGCCTTTACTACTGACACCTTTTCTACTGTCATGTGTTATGGAATTTGGAGAAAAGCGGAGAAGGAACCAGCCACGCAAAGAATTTTAAACAGGGTATAAAGGAGTTTTAGACACTTATTAGTTATTAGTAACCTCATTCTTGTTAGGCTGCTGATCCTTGTATATGGCTCCCTCGGTAATCTTTTGGGAAAGAGGGAAAAGAGAAGGTAGGGTGATTCTGGAACCCTGGCCCTAATATTAAAATTCCCCCAAATCTTGCCCAGGCCGGTTGCTCAGTGGTTAGAACATCAACCCATGCACCAAAACTCACAGGTTTGATTCCCGGTTAAAGGGCACATACCTTGGTTGCAGGCACAGTAGAGGCACATGTGGGAGGTAACCAATCTATGGATCTCACTCACATTGACCTCTCTGTCTCTCTCTTTCTCTCTCTCCCCCCACCCTCCACCCTCCACACCCCTCCTGTTTTCCACTCTTATCTAAAAGCAATGAAAAAATATCCTCGGGTGATAATTTAAAAAAACAAACACTACCAAATCTTATCTGGGTTTTAAGTAGGTTTATTTTCCTTTGGAGAGGGACCTTGTTTTTCAGGACATTTTCAAAGGAGTCCTTGTCTTAGTTCAGGTTCCTCCCAAAATCAGGCTTTGAACCAGGACTGAGATACCCGTGGTTGGTTTAAGAGGCGACTCCAAGAGGAGCTCTGAAGGAGTGAGACAGGAGAGGAAGGGCAGTCCTTAAAGGGCACATTAGTGAGGGCTTCCTGTGTGGGCTCAGTCCTGCTGTGAACTGTCTGAGAAACTGAACACACACGTCAGCATTGCCCCATTAACAGGCAAGAAAGCTGAGGCACTTGCCGGCCAACTCTTCCCCCTCTTTAGCGGGTTAGTGCTCCTGCACCTCTGCCCAGCTCCCATCGGGGGAGGGCACACTCCCAAAGCCAGAGAAGGCACTTAGGCCAGAGCCACAGGCAGTCCTCTCCTGTACCAGAACTCTCTGAAAGCTAACTTCTGAATAGGAGGCCCGAAAGACAGGAGCAGCCTAGACAGCATCTACTACACTGTGCAAAACAGGAGAGAGTACAGCCAGGCTTCCCTTTCTTTGTTGCTTTGAAGCAACTTATCTGTGTTGTGCTTTGCTTTTGGCACCGGGGGGGGGGGGGGGGGGGGGGGGGGGGGGGGGGGGGGGGGGGGGGGGGGGGGGGGGCGTGGAGAGGACTGATTTCAATGATGCCTTGACGTGGTAATTATAGCTGAAATCATTCAAGTCTTATAGGCTCCATCAATGGAAGTTTTGAAGTCTAGAAATTAATGTGCACCCTATGAGAAACCTGAATATAAAGAAAAGCAAAATTGTCCGTTTCTGTCATAAGCTGATTTTCTCAGCAGTTCCGTCTTGGTTCCCCTCAGCTAGCCCTTATCACATGTCAGATGGAGTATAATGTCATCTCTTGTTATGAGAGGGACAACTCCCAAGGGACAACTCACATAGATGTGCTTCCTGGCTTGTACCAGGCACATATGATTAAACTAGAGTCCCAGTGCCCAAAATTCATGCATGGGGGATGTGTATGTGTCCCTTAGCCCAGCCTGCACCCTCTCCAATCTGCGATCCCTCTCACAATCCAGGACTGCTGGCTCCCAACTGCTCACTTGCCTGCCTGCTTGATTGCCCCTAACCGCTTCTGCCTGCCAGCCTGATCACACCCTAACCACTCCCCTGCCAGCCTGATCAATGCCTAACTGTTCCCCTGCCAGCCTGATTCCCCCTCAACTGCCCTCCCCTGCAGGCCTGGTCCCCCCCAACTGCCCTCCCCTGCTGGCCTGATCACCCACAACTGCCCTCCCCTGCAGGCCATCTTGTGTGGCCATCTTGTGCATTGGAGTGATGGTCAATTTGCATATAATGTCTTTGTTATATAGGATAGATGGAGTGTGAAAGTAGAGGAGATGTGAACAAGTTAGGAGTCTGGGGGCCTGATGAAAAGCTGATACCTTGAGGCCCAGGAAATGAATGTCCAAAGTGACAGGTGCTCGGAGTCTAAGTGAGCAAAGCAATTAAGGTAAACAAGCCATTGTAGATAAATTAGATTTTCTGCATTATTTTGGCCATCATAACAAATTACCATAGGCTGGGTGGCTTAAACCACAAACATTTTTTTCCTCACAGTTCTGGAGTCTGGGAAGTCTAAATATCTAGCTGCTGGCAGATCTAGTTTGTAGACAATTGTTTTCTCATTGCATTCTCTTATGACAGAGGCTGGAGTAGGCTCTGTGTTTCTGCAGAGAAGAGCACTAATCCCATTCATGAGGGCTCCACCCTTATGACCTAATTACCTCCCAAAGCCCCATCCATCAACATCACATTGGGGGATGAAGGTTAGAATTTCAATACATGAATTTGTTGGAGACACAAATATCTATATATATAAAAGACTAATATGCAAAGTATCCCCTCAGGAGTTTGATTGCTCACTATGATGTTCACTGACCACCAGGAGGCAGCACAGAACAAAGGAAGGCCCCAGCTGGCAGCCAGTAGGCTCCAGTCGGCCCTGATTGCTGGCCAGGCCTATGGAACCTACTCATGCATGACTTTCGTGCACTGGGCCTCTAGTTAGTCTATAACATACATATATGTAAATTTGTAAAACAGGTCTGGGAGACCCTGGAAGTGTAGTACACATTTGCTTTATGTGTATTGTTTGGAATATAAGGAGAAAATATTCCAATACTGTATAACACTAACAATGTGAATTCTTTAAAGCAATTTAATAAGATCAATTTCACAAAAATATTTTGGGGGCCCTTGGGTGTCCTAACTGGTTTGGCTCAGTGGATACAGCGTCAGCCTGCGGACTGAAAGGTCCCAGGTTCAATTCCGGTCAAGGTTATGTACCGTGGTTGCAGGCACATCTCCAGAAGGAGGTGTGCAGGAGGCAGCTGACCATTGTTTCTCTCTCATCGATGTTTTTAACTATCCCTCTCCCTCTCCCTTCCTCTCTGTAAAAAATAAAATATATTAAAAAATATTTTGGGGGCCCATAAACTTAAACTCCAGCTGCATTAAAAATCAAGGAAGTGCAAATTCAAGCTAAAATGCAATACCATTTTATTCTTACCAGATAGTATTCTCTGGCTTTTGCATTTGTGTTGGCCAAGATGAAGAACAAGAACTGTGGTCCTCTGCTAGTTGGAATGTCAACTGATGCAACCTCTTCGGAAAACATGTTGGTATCACCTAGAAAACAGGACCTGTGCTTCCCCTATAGCCCGGCACTCCCACTCCTTCATATATACCCTAAACAAACTCTTGTTCATATATTCCAAGTAATAGATACAAGTATGCCTATCTCAGTATGTTCAGTGATAGCTAAACAAAGGAAATCACCCAGACACAATGTAAAAATATCCATACAGTGGAAACTAAACAGCAGGGGAAATGTATTTATTATACTACAATTAGATAAAATAACTCAGCTCAACCTCAGTAACAGAATGCATACGGGATGATTGCATTCACAAAAAGGTCAAAAGTAGTCACAATTTAACTTTTCTGTTTTAAAAA